AAAGATGCCCACACACTCAGTTGAGGATGAACAGTGATGCCTACTTAAGCTCCCATACAACAATCCAGTGGCTTTCCTAGGATCCTTCTAGTGTCCTGCTACCCACATTTTGTTGGGAACTCTGCTTTAAAAATGGCCCTGAAACAAAGAGCTCAAGCGCTATCTAGTGCTCCTCAATTCAACAAGGCTCTGATATGCCTTGTTCAGAAAATACAAGCTTGTCAGATGAACTTCATGTATAAGGCACTGCTTACAGTGCCACTGGCTGTACTACAGTATTAACAAAATAATACATATTAAATTGGGCAAATGGAAATACATAGAACAAGACTATGTATTGATCAGTTGATGAAAATATAACCAGAGGCTCGAAGGACTGACCCTTGTTTTTCCTCTAGGGGCTATGATTCAGTACTCAATAGTATTCAAACTTTATAGAATGAAACTATCACAGCTGTCATTACATGTAACAAAAGGAAAAACATGAAATCCAGAGCATTTTACCAAACAGGAGATCATTTTCTCCAAGCTCAGAAACAATAGCTTAAGTTTCCTGAATAAGATAAGGACTGCTGATGGTGTCAGTTCAGAGACTTACAGGCTAGAAACACTACAGTGACACAATGCGTAAAAAGTGCGTATTACATCACCACAGACAAAGATCAAGTGGTTGTTCTATTGTGCGTGTATCCCCTAAGGTGCCCCCAAGATGATTCAATGATACAACATTCATTTATACAAACCAATAATAACAATTCAATTACATTACAATTTTTAAATTTAATCGTACAGAAATGTGTACATAATTTATACTGACATTGCCTGCTCCAATGCAGCTGACATACGCAACCAAAAAATGCTGAGATCAGCAATGTGAAAGATCAGTCAGTAGCTGAGAACAACCACCCCAGAGACAGAGGTACAAAGCTGGTGGAGTTAAGGACAAAGATGCGTGGGAACATGGAAGGAAAGCTGAGTTCTACAGCTGCTTGGTCCAGTGTGTCATGATGTTCACATGGGTTCTCTCTCTAGGCTTCAATTTCTTCAACAAGTATTATTACTTAACCAGTTACAACATTCTCAAGATGGTGCTAGCCAGGAGCCCTTTCTGCTCTAGAAATGGGAATATTTCTGATTCAGAAAACAAGACACAACAGCTAGTAGTTAAAACCACTTTTTGATGTTGCCCAGAACCTGGGGGCTGAAGCAACAGAGGTAGATAAACAATAGAGAATACCACTTCCCAAACTAGGAAGGTTTATGAGATCTCATATCCCAGACTGTATTGTATACATTTACAATGATTATAGTATACACGTTTACACCCATATACACACTGAACTTTAATTGTCCAGTGACAAAAAGAGAAAAAGTACAGTGCCAGCAATCTGTGTGCTACTCCATCAATGAGGGTATTCAGTCCCAAGGACAATCCCAGTTCCCCAGTGTCTTAAAGTATGAGTGGCTCAGTGTGAGGTTGACATCACACTGGTATCATTCAATGCCCCAAACAACCTCTTCATCTGATACCCAAGGGAAAGTAAGCCTAAGTTTCACCCTTAAAGTAAGTAAGAACTGGCTGCATCTGACTTCCTTAAAGAGCAATTTTGGGCAATACTCCCATTTTCACAATATACACTAACCATAGAATCAACCATGCAGAAATGGAAAGACAACTATACTCATTCTCATCCAAAGGTTTACATCTTATCATCAAAAGGTAGTATGAACTGAAATTTGTTTACCATATACTTTTAAAATACTTAATATTGACTAACGTGTTCTAATAACAATTGCATCATTTAACATATATAGCAACCAAGCAAAAAAGACCAGATAAAACACTGAGCCCATTAAAAATGTTAAATGCAATAATGTAACAAAGTTGTTGTCATACATACCCCAATCCACAGTCTATCATGTAGCCCAGGTTAGTCTCAAATTTGCTATGTAGGCAAAGATGACCTCAAACTTCTGATTCTCCTGCCTCCACATCCTGAGTGCTGGGATTACAGACCTTCAAACCACACCTGGTTTTATGTTATACTGGGAATGGAAACCAGGGCCTTGTGCATGCTAGGTAAGCACTCTACCAAATGAGCTATACTCCCTCAGTTCCATTAATAAGAGTTTTTGAGTATGACAATTTGGGTTCAAATTCTAGGTATTTTATTCCACTTTTCAGAGCCTTATTAAAATGCAGGCAGTGCACACACAATACTTGAAGATTAGTCAAATATTCTAGATGTACATAGTACTCAACATTCCCTCTCATTCCTAGGAAGCAAGACTGCAAGTTCAAACACCTACTCTATGTGCAAAGCAGAACACCTTTAAACTCTGTTTCATGATTAGACGTTTGAGAAGGGTAGGATTCAGTCTTTCTTTTTAAAGTGTTCAAAATGTAGTCCTTGAGATACTTCTAAATATTTATTGTTCAATTTATGAAATGCCACTATCTTAAAGACTCAGAGTGTATGTACACACGAGTGCAGAGACAAAGGCTCTAAGTAATGCCATAGAGAAACCTAGCTAAACTTGTTCAGACTAGCATTTCCCAAGTCTGTCTACTGGAATTTTTCTGTATAATTAGCATAAACACCCACAGAACTAACATTCTTCTGAACATACTTTTAGAAATATTGATTTTGACAGGTTCATGTGTAACAATAGAATAAAATATTATAGAACAGGCCCAAGAAACTACACTATTTAGAGCCAGCTCTTTTTTTTTCATGTGTATGTGTTTGTGCCCGAGTGTATGTATGTTCAGCACTTAAGTGTGGGCAGGTGCTAGAACCCAATCCAGAGCCTCTGGAAAAGCAGCAAATGCTCTTAAGCACTGAGCCATCTCACCATCCCCATATTTAGTTATTTTGAGATGAGGTCTTGCCCTGTTGCACTGGCTGACTTTGACCTCAAAATCCTCCAGCCTTAGCCCCCTGAGAAGATGGGATTACAAAGGCATACCACTTTAACTGCTAAAAACTATCTTCCAAAAGAGATTCTTAAATCACTGTTTTGCAGCCAACCTTGAATCTGCATATATTATATTATCGAACTCTAATTAGGTCAGATTTCAGAGTAAGTTAGGCACAAAGATTCCAACAAGTGGCTCACAGTGGTCGAATGGAAGACAGAGAAAAAGGTGGGGGAAAGACTTCACACTTTGTTATAAACTGATCTGTATGAGGTATCTTATTCTCCAAATCAGCTTCCCAAGAATGGTGCATATCTCATGTCACACCACCACCTCTGCTGTCATTATTCCTGGTATCCTAGGACAATGGAAAGCAAGAGCCAGAATAGAGCTGGGGCTCTATACCTACAAATACTTTTTTTCAGCCGGGCAGGGTCGCCAGGGTGGCGCATGCCTTTGATCCCAGCACTCAAGAGGCAGAGGCAGGCTGATATAGTTCAAGGCCAGCCTGGTCTACATAGAGAGTTCCAGACCAGCTGGGGCTACAGGGAGATCCTGTCTCAAAAAGACCAAAAAATTTTAATTAAAAAAAAAACCAAACCCTTTCTTTCCTGAAAAGCAAGAAGGCAATTATTTTGTTATAAGAAAAAAGTCAGTTATCAGCATTTGGGCAATCCTGATTATTCCCACATATCTCTAACAATTAAAAACTTGAAAAAAAGGGCTGGAGAGATGGCTCAGCGGTTAAGAGCACTGACTGCTCCTGCAGAGGCCCCAGGTTCAATTCCCAGCACCCACATGGCAGCTACGAACCCTCCTTAACTCTAGTTCCAGGGGAATCCAAAACCCTCTTCTGGGCTCTGTGGCATTGCATGACACCGGTGCACTTACACACATGCAGACAATACACTCATACACATAAAATATTTAAAAAAAAAAAACTGGAAAAAACATCCAACTAAATATCTTTAGAACCTTTGCTAAGTATTAAAAGTATTCTAATTCTTTGGGGGAAAAAAACAATAGGTAGCTGCAAGGCTTGGGGCACATACTTGTAATCCCAGCACTGCAGGCAGGATTACTAGGTGTTTTAGACTAGCCTGGCTACATACTGAGTTCCACACCAGCCTGGGGTACAAAGTGACTGTTTCAAAAAATTTAAGCAGCTGTATGTATACTAAAAAGTGTATACAGACATTATCTCCCACACCTGAGAAACAGGTAATTCTAAATAAACCAAAATAGAGCTTACAACAGGCTGCTCAGTTTACGGGACAATGGGTTTTTCTGTGTCTTTTTTCCTGTAATATCTCAACTACTCTACACACATCTGTAGTTCATGCTTGCGTTTAAACTGAAATACACAAAAGAAAGAAGGCTGCTAAAATGCAAAGTCATGAGCCTGTGGAAAACGTTACTCTCAAGGCAGATGCTTCAAGATCGTGTAGTTTTCTAAGGAAAGCGAATGGAATCTAGAAATGTTCTATCGCTCGGCCTATCAGTGCAGAAGACCACAAAGCCTCATGGAGTAAAATAATATGCAATTCGGCCACTTTACGGGGGGGGGGGGGGGTGAGAAGGGGGATGGGGCGAAAAGCAATTTTTGCTGCCCAAGGTAGCAAAGCTACCTTGGAAACTCATCTTGATACTCCAGTCTTTCCATTTGGAGGGAAACCACCTCAAAGACCACTAAATCGAGACCACTACCTCTCAGGCCCAACCAAACACAAGGTGTATGGTCACCCAGGCGAGGGCACACCTGCCAGGAGGTGGCCGCTCCCGTCATCCCACCTCGCCCCAGCTGACCTGCCCCGCCTCAGCCTTTGCCGAGTCCACCTACACTTCTGCCTACTCCTCTCCATCTCTTCAAAGGAAAGGACATGGGAGGGAGAAGATGGTGGCGCGAGGAAAAGCACCCCCGCCAAGGGCCGCAGCCTCTCTCGTCCCCATTCCACGGAGGAGACGCAAAGCCACAACGACTTTCCTAAGCCTTGGGTCTCCAACGCAGTCTGCACCGCTTAGATGGCTTTTACAGATGTTTTAAAACACAAGTAACTTCCCCTCTCCCTTCCGCCCTCACCTTCACGAAAGCAATCGGGGTTGTGGTACCTTCGATATCTAACAGGATCACAGTGACTTCGGCGGGCACCGAGAGCACGACCATTTCCCCGCCGGATGCTACCACGGAATCGGCCTTGCTGGAAGGAAGGGCAGCGCCGCCTGCGCTCCAGGACTGTCTCGGGCTCCCGAGGGCCCAGCAACAACCAGAGACCCAGCGACCACCAGCTGCCCACCGCGCGCACTAGCAATCAGCTCCGCGGAATCGCGTGGAGCCGCCCAATGCTCTGCACCCGGAGCGCTGGCAAGCAGCAGGCCCAGACCACGTGGGCAGGGAGAGGGGCGGAGCTCCAGGCCCCGGGGAGCGGACCAGGCCGGGCGCACTCGCCCATTGGCCACAGGCGCGCCGCGAAGGCGCTCCATCCAAATGGGCCTCGCGTGGGCGGGAACAAAGAAGCGAACGCGGGAGCCCGGAGCGCGCGCCCTCCGCAGACTGGGGCAGCCAGCTGGAACGGCCCGGGCCACGTGCAGACCGGAGCCCCGCGGGAGGCGCGCCGGGGATGTGAGTGCCCTTTGCCCTCTACTGCACCTGACCCCTTTCCCGCCCACCACGCGCGCTCCGACCATCTCCAGTCTTTGCGCAGGCCCCGCCCTCCTCCGCGGCCTCTGCCTGCTTCGGAGGCCCAGCCGGGCCCGGGCTACGGCCCTTCGGCCTCCCGGGCCCCGACGCGGCAGCAGAAGAGCCGCCCCCGGCAGACGCAGGGGCCAACGCGCGCCCGCTTCCTGTTTAGCTGGTTCCAGCCGGCGCGAGGACAAAACACGCGTGCGCGCGGCGGACGAGCGCTGCAGCTCCCGTCAGCAGCACCGGGCGCAGTCCGCCCCCTTCCCGGAGCAACGGGCCGCGGCGCTCGGCGGTAGTGGCTGCAGCACCTCCGCACTGGGGAACTGAGGGCTACAAGGCGGGGGTGACGGCTCTCCGGTTGGAGTGGGCCGGACCGGACGCCAGACACAAAAGGCTTGCCAGGCAAGAGGGACCGTGGCCCTGCGACGGCGCCGCCCCGGATTCTCGGCCTTTCGGGTTTCCTCCTTTGTGCCCCGCAGCCCGGCCCCCCGCGCGACCTCGCTCCTCACCCGGAGCGCCGCGATGGAGGTTCCGCCCCGGCTCTCCCAGGTGCCGCCGCCATTGTTCCCCTCCGCTCCGGCTACTTTAGCCTCACGCAGCCTCTCCCATTGGCGGCCGCGGGCACCCCGGCAGCTCGCCCCGCTCCTCCCTTCGCTCGCTGCCAGCTCCGCCCGGCAGGGGGCGCGCCGAACCCCGCGTCACGTCACCGCCCAGCAGCCCTCCCGATTGGCGGGCGGGGCAGCTATAAAGGGAGGGCGCAGGCGGCGGCCGGATCTCTTCCGCCGCCATTTTAAATCCAGTTCCATACAACGTTCCGCCGCCGCCGGAACCCGTACTACGCGCCAGCATCCCCCTGCCGACAGCGCCGCCACCATGGAGGACGTGAACGAGTACAGCAATATAGAGGAATTCGCAGAGGGCTCCAAGATCAACGCGAGCAAGAACCAGCAGGATGACGGGTACCGCACGCTCTGCACCTCCCCTCCCCCAGAGCCCCGCGCGCGCCCTTCGTCCCCCAGGAGCGCGCGCTGCCCCCAGTCCTGTCCCGAGTCGATTCTCCGCGTGCCCGCTGGACCCCACTAGCTTGAAGGGAAGTGGAAAGTAAGACGGGGCGACTGGAGAGGCCGGCGGACGCTGGGGGAAGGGAGGAGGGTTGGCGGACGCGGGCGGCAGCGTCGGTGTCCCGAGTGCGCAGGCGCCCCGTGTGGCCAAGGGGGAAGGGCCGCCCTGGCTGTGCTGCAGGAGGCAGCTGCCGCCGCCTCTTCATTGTGTCTGTCGCTGCTTGGGCGGCGATCGGGGGCTGTTGGGGAAACTAGGGTAGGTTTAGGCACCAGTAGATGACTGGGTGCTCGGTGCTCGCCATGCATTGCCGAGGTGGTGGTAACTTTGGAGCTGAAGATGAAAGTGCGCTCAAGTTGGCGATGGGGTGGGGGCGTGTCTGTGTAGAAGTAGTGCTTTGCGACCCAATGGGATCGGATCGGCAAGACTGTACCGACTGAAGTTTAAGCGTTTTGTATGTAGTGTCAACGCAACCGGTCTTCCGGTTTGACAGCGATCTGGACATTTTTTTGGTTTGTTGATGTGTTTGTAATCAGAACATAAAATGCTTGCTCCAGTAAATTTCCCTGTGCCTATTTCACTCTTTAATTCCAGGCTTGAAGTAAACATTAGGCGGGTCCCCCTAAGTTTCTTTTTATTTTTTGTGTTTTTTTGATAACTTATTTCTAGTAAAATGTTTATTGGAGGCTTGAGCTGGGACACAAGCAAGAAAGATCTGACTGAGTATTTGTCTCGATTTGGGGAAGTTGTAGACTGCACAATTAAAACAGATCCGGTCACTGGAAGATCAAGAGGATTTGGATTTGTGCTTTTCAAAGATGCTGCTAGTGTTGATAAGGTAGGGTGTGTTCTGCATTGTGCAAACTTTTGTGTTACTTCAAAATTGTGTGTTTTCTTTTTAAGTTCCTGTCAAATTGTCTTCTAGGTTTTGGAACTGAAAGAACACAAATTGGATGGCAAATTGATAGACCCTAAAAGGGCCAAAGCCTTAAAAGGAAAAGAACCCCCTAAAAAGGTTTTTGTGGGTGGATTGAGCCCAGATACTTCAGAAGAACAAATTAAAGAATATTTTGGAGCCTTTGGAGAGGTGGGCTGTTTGTTTACACGTGTCTTTGAAGTATTTATAAAATACTCTCTCTTGGTCCTGTTTGTATAGAGCTGCTCATTAATATTTCAGGGTATAAGATTGAATCAAGTGCCTTCTAGTTGTTGGAACTTAATTGCTGCTTTATATGCTATATAGTGGAAACCACTACTTAAGCCAAAACTTAAAGTGGTCATTGTTTAAATATATGATAACAGTAGGGTATGAAATCCTGTTAAAGGATGCAACAAACTTACTAGAAAGTAGTGGTGTCATTTCTGTAGTCAGAACATGTTACATTGATGCCATCAAGTGTCTTCTAGTTGTTGGATCTTAACTGCTGCTTTATATGCTATAGTGGAAACCACTACTTAAGCCAAAACTTAAAGTGGTCATTGTTTAAATTTATGATATCACTAGGGTGTGAAATCCTGTTAAAGGATGCAACAAACTTACAAGAAAGTAGTGATGTCATTTCTGAAGTCAGAACATGTTACATTGATGCCTGAAAGGGCCTGTAGCATTCTAAATCCTTTGACTCTTTGCCATTAATGAGTACTTTCTGAATGGACATCTTGATTTCAGATCGAAAACATTGAACTTCCCATGGATACAAAAACAAATGAAAGAAGAGGGTTCTGTTTTATCACATACACAGATGAAGAGCCAGTAAAGAAGTTGTTGGAAAGCAGATACCATCAAATAGGTTCTGGGAAGGTAAATCGGTTTATTGCATTAAAAAATTGGAAGAAATATTTTTAGTGAAACTCCCTGTTGGGGGGAGGGTGGCTTAGTGTTAGAGCATAGGTGTAAACGTTCTTGGTTTTTTTTTGTTTGCTTATAGTGTGAAATCAAAGTTGCACAACCCAAAGAGGTGTATAGGCAGCAGCAGCAGCAGCAGAAAGGAGGAAGAGGTGCTACAGCTGGTGGAAGAGGCAGTGCTAGGGGTCGCGGAAGAGGTGAGACCTTGGGAAATCCCTGTTTAAACTGAAACAGTAAATTGCTGGGTAAAACGGCCCGTAAGAAAGCTCGACTAGACTGAAACCTTAGGGCTTCATGGAACAATGCTAGCTTAGTGGGGAGGATTTTGGAACTGCAGTATAGGGGGCAAAGGCAAGAATACATCATTTTATGTTAGGGTCGTGGAGTCAGAAGTTGTTTGCTAACAATCATTGTGCATTGTTTCAGGTCAGGGCCAAAACTGGAACCAAGGATTTAATAACTATTATGATCAAGGATATGGAAATTATAATAGTGCCTATGGTGGTGATCAAAACTATAGTGGCTATGGCGGATATGATTATACTGGGTATAACTATGGGAACTATGGATATGGACAGGGATATGCAGACTACAGCGGTAAGAATATTTAACTTAATTTTATAAACCAGTGGTATTAGAATTCAATTTTGAAGTACATTCCTAGTCTGAAGTTGTTTGTGTGTATGAGATTCCTATTAAGGTGTTTGGCGTTAAGTTTTGTGGTATGTTATAGTCATGGGATAGTAACTGATAATTATAAGGATATTTAACAATTTGTAACTACTCGTTATTAAGATGACTTAATATTTTAATGTTTTGTTTGGGAAGGAAAGGTTTTATGGGAAACTTTCTTAGTAAAATTTGTATCCTTTCAAAATAGGTCAACAGAGTACTTACGGCAAAGCATCTAGAGGGGGTGGCAATCACCAAAATAATTACCAGCCATACTAAAGGAGGACATTGGAAGAAAGCAGGTGTGTGTACCAGTGCAAGAAAGAATGGAAATGTCTAATTTAAAGATCAATAGACAAATGAAAAATAAGTGAAAAATATGATGTAGTCCTTTACTAAATTGTTAATTTTTAATTGCTTTATGAGCCTGTTTTGCCTAAAGTGTCTATAGATCTTTAACTTTAAAGTCTTACCTCACCTTTTTTAGTATTACAGAAAAACTTAAAAGTTTTTCTGTTTGCTTTGTGTACCAGGAGGTGTAGAGGAATAATTAAACTTTTTTAGAACTATTAACAGGTAAAGTACTGAAATGGGTACAACTTAAGGAAAACAAGAATGTTGTCTTCTAACTCTGACATTATACCTTGTTTGTACCCGCCAGCGGGAACTTCATTGCAGGCCGTGTGTCACCCTGACCACGTCTATCTCTGGGGGTCGCACGTTGCGGGCAGAGCGCAAGGCATACACCAGAAAACGCTGTCCTGTGGTATGGTCTCTTCCAACTTCATGTACCAGCGTAAAGATTAAAGTGGAAAACTTCAGACTTTGGCTTCTTTTTTAATCTTTTTGGAAATTAAGTGTCTAAACTTTAACTTAAATGGTTTTTTACAGGAGTTAAAGTACATAAATGCCTTTTTACAGCTTAATCATTTTGGTCTTCTGTTTAGTGTTGTATTTCAATTGTGGACCTCATTTTAAGTGTTCATTCTTTAAGATTTAATGCTTGCTTTTTCTTTTTATAGCTAATAGTGAAATCTACCAACCAAAACAAGAACTTTTAAATCTGGGATATAAGTTAAAGATCATATGCACACAGCAGTTCCTTGTAATGTGATAAGCCTATCAGAAATCCTTTGTGATGGCATTTTACCTTGGTTTACTAGAGATGCTTCTAGTAGGCCTTCATCTGCTCAGCCTATAACTATGGGAAGATTGCATTCCCATGTTGTATTCTAAAATGAATGAATTTGAATATCACTTGAGAACTCCGGTGAGTTTTTCAATTACCCAAAGTGCATTTTGCTAATGAATATGCATGTGATCTTTAATTAGTGAAGAAAAGAATAAAGTGAGGACTTAAAACAATTCATGAAAGTGGACCTTTTGAAAGCCTGTGAGAATTGCACAGATCTAATTATTACTTTGTTTTTGTTTTTAGGAGATATAAAGAAACCATCTTACAGGACGACATTGAAGATTGCTTGATCTTCTGTTGATCTAAGATGATTATTTTGTAAAAGACTTTCTAGTGTACATGACACAATTGTGTCCAATTGTATATAGCCGCCAATTAGTTTCTTTGTCTTTACTTTGTCCTTTGCTGTCTGTGTTATGACTCAGTGTGGATTTATGTTTATACAATTTTTATTTGTATGATTTCATGTTAAACCTCAAATAAATGCTTCCTTATGTGATTTTCTGCGTCAGGTACTACATAGTTCTATAAAAATGTAATTTTAAAGAAGCAATAATTAAGGCACAGTTTATTTTGTATGGGGTATTGGTCC